GTTATTTTTTTAATGTTATTATTGTTGCAGTTATTATTGTAATGTAGCACTATTATCTAATATATATTAGATTGTAAATCTAACTTAAAATTGTAAAATTAAAAAATAACTGCTCGAAAAAATAATTGTAAAAATAACTGCTCGAATAAAAGAGTTTCTATTGTAATTTCAGTGGATCAAAGGTAACCTTGATCCATAATATACATATAATTCAATGCTAATTAATGATAATTCAATTCAATGATAATTCTCGAAGCTCTCCGATCATTCCAACTGTTTTACTACTTGCAATTGTTGCTACTCATATTTTCTGCATAAAATCCGCAGTCTGCCAATGAGAAATCCTCGTCGGCACATCCTAATTTTCACAGACTGTGGATTTTTATAAAACATACAAATTTTATGCTGCGAGAGATAGATGTCCAATTTTCAGAATTTGTTTTTTTATTTATGTTGAATACAATGAAAGAACGGTTTTTAATTACCTCGATGTTTTGATATTTTGCGTGTGTGTGTCTGCACTCTGTTTGCAAATCTGCGCTCTATATGTAAAAATCGTGATTGGTTTTTTAAATCCTGATATGAACTGAACTTGTATATTTGTAGAGATTTTAAGGTGCTCGGATTCTGCTACCTTTTATTGCATTCCCTAATGACTGAAATGTATATGTTCGTTATTTTCATTTGTAAAATTCGCGGTAAATAATCCGTGTACCATCGTAAAACGCGCGATGGCAATTTGTGAATTTCATTTCTGCGGGATGACTCATCTTCGGAGGCGAATTCAAAATTCAAGCAGCGCTTCATTGACATCCGCTTCGTTTTTTTCAATTTCTTTTTCTGTTCCAACGAATTGCAATTTTTGCAAACATTTTTCCACTCACTCTCCAGCGAGGTAGACAATCCAATATCTCAAAAAAAGATCAAGCCGCGCGACCCAATTTTAAAAATGTTATTTCGTCTTAATAGTTTTAATAATTGTTTTAGTGGTAGCGTTATATAAATGTTTAAATATCGTCACTCGGTGTACATGCGTGCACATACGATGTCGACTATTTTAAATTCAACCGAACAACCTGAACATTTTTCGAGATGCTGGAAAGCGCAGTTTACTAGGCAATGAGCAAAAGAATGTTTGCAAATATTTGCAATCGGTTACAAAGAGAATTGTACGTACAGTGAGAGACGAAAGTATTCGAATGCCCTTTGAAGCGGAATGTTTTGCAAATTTTCGTGATACGCTCAGGTAAAAAAGTTAAAATACACGAATTTCGCATTTTCTTTGACATTCCAAGTAACAGCTAAATTTAAAAAAGCATTTTAGTCATTATTTAGTAGAGTAGTCTTTCTATGATATAAAAATATTCAACTCGTTTGGTCCAGTTTTAAAAAAGTTGCTTTTTAGAGGCGTTCGAGTATTTTCGTGTCTCAAAATAGAAAAAAAGAAAATTAAAAAAAAAATAGAAAAAAAAAATAGAAAATTAGGGCCCGTAAAATTTAAATCAAATAACTCTTCTAACCGTGCTAACTCGAATGAGATCATGTAAAAAGGAAACTGAATTTATTTTTCTGGAACGTTTTAAATCAAAACCGTGTAAGAAAATACCGTATAAAAACAGATCTAGGTGTATCACACACAAGGATCAATGTTATTTTTATTTTCAAATAACGGCGTTGAATTACTGTATTACTCTCCTTTATTTATGTCCTTTTTCACATAGTATCTCAATCACTTACTTTATCTTTTGTTGCATCTTTTATTGTACCATTTCTTTTCTTCACTTCTCTTTGATATTCTATTTGTTCGACACACACATTGTTATATTATCGTAACACAGCGAGCTTTTTCCGTTGATTGAATAAATATTAGTAACATTATTATTATTTAGTAATATTATTATTACTAAAAAATAATAAATAATTAATAATAATTGAATAATATAATTAATAATAAATGAATTACAGTAGAAACTCTCATATCCGGATATTTATTTTTACAATATTCCGGTGCCCAAACGTTCTATTATTTGACAACAAGCGTTGCATTATTTAGATACATTATCACGCGCTAGAGAAACTCGAATGACATTTTTAAATAACAGAACGTTTCGGTATCGGAACATTGCAAATGTAAACGTTCAGATAAGAGAGGCGCTACTGTGAAAAATGTCGTTTTCATTTCATTCTTATTTCCATTTCGAGTAACATTTCCTCGAGTCTGATCACTGGACTGCTGATCATCATGCAAAATAAAAATCGTCTAAGCTACTTCGAAGGAAAACAAATTACTTGAAAATATCTTCCTCTCTTAACAATCCTAATAAATGGAAAATAATTCAACGATAACCCCCAAAATGCTTCGAACGTCTTCCCGCTTTTGACTTTTCGTTTCGCCTATAAATGCATCAAATCCGCAGTCTACCGATCGCCACGCCGAAGATATATCGCTTCCTATAAAATAAAGACCGTTCAAAAACCCCTTCCACCGGCGCAATTATCCGCAGAGTCACCTATCAGAACGGCGTCGTCCAGTCGTTAGCCGGTACTAATCAACGCTCCATTGTATTTCCCGCAAGAATTCCCGAAAATCAGTTGCTTTTAGGACGGCCGCACGAGAATGCCCCCCTAATGCGCTGTTAGTCTGCATTTACCGGCCGTCGGGACACTTATGGGCCACCGTAATAGAGGGAAAGACGGGGGCGAGGGAGCCGGGGATCCTGTAAAGCCGGTCGCGCGACGGTCCAGCCGGGCGAATTTTCGGCCGGCCGCCGCTCGTTAGGCGTGAAACAGGGAGATGAGAGAGAGCGGGGGAGCGAGAGCGAGAGAGAAAGAGAGAGAGAGAGCGCGAGAGACAGAGCGCGAGAGAGAGCGCGAGAGAGACAGAGCGCGCGAGAGACAGAGCGCGAGAGACAGAGCGCGCGAGAGACAGAGCGCGCGAGAGACAGAGCGCGAGAGACAGAGCGCGAGAGACAGAGCGCGCGAGAGACAGAGCGCGAGAGACAGAGCCCGCGAGAGAGAGCGCGAGAGACAGAGCGTGAGAGCGAGAGCGCGAGAGCGAGAGCGCGAGATAGAGAGAGCGTGGGAGAGAAAACGCGAGAGAGAGAGCAAGAGAGTGAGAGAGCGCGAGAGAGAACGCAAGATAGAGAGCGCGAGAGCGAGAGAGAGCGAGAGAGAGCGCAAGATAGAGAGCGCGAGAGCGAGAGAGAGAGCGAGAGAGAGAGAGAGAGCGCGAGAGAGAAAGCGCGAGATAGAGAGAGCATGGGAGAGAGCGCGAGAGAGAGAAAGAGAGAGTAAGCCAGAGAGAGACCGAGGGAGCGGTAGAGAGAGAGAGGGAGAGCGAGATACGAGCGAGAGAGGGATCTCATTTTAGCCCCGGCCAAAACGAATTTATTTCGTCGGGGTCCAGAAACCGAATTGCCCGGAAATTCGCTTATCCGCGGTTAAATGGAATCTCCGTTTCCCTCTCGGTCGCGTTTCTCGCGCGACGCCGAGCGGCGCGGAGGCAAGCGGAGCCGAGCGGAGCGGAACGCGAAATTTGTCAAGGGACCCACGGTAAATATTCGTGGCCCGAAAAAGGAGAAAGAGACACGCGAAAAAGGAACGCGACATCGTTGATCCCACGGGCGAGAAGCGAACCAAAAAAAAGAAAGGGCGGTGCTCGTTCGAGGTTGAAGCCGAAGAGGAAAACACGACCGACGGACCCTCTTGCCCGTCGGCCGACCGAGCCAGCCCCGGAAAATTGCATTTCGTTCGAAAAGAGAAACGATTATATTTCGTCCTATTTTTCTTCGGCTCGGCAATGTTATTCTCCCGCGAAATAAAATTAAAGGCCGTCCGCCCTTCGCGCCC